GAATTACCATGAACATATCCAGCGAATAATACTGAAGTAGGCCTTTATACCACTTAGCAAACTTTCTGTCGAAATCGCTATGAAGGTCTTTCAAGGAATATGGACATCTGTTTTTATGACCCTCAAGGCGAGTCAGTTTTTTATGACAGTTTTCACACTGGGACTGCAATTTCCAGTAACCTGTGCCCAGACAACAATAATCTATCGACCACTTTAGGTATTCTACGGTATCTGACAATTAAAACATAATTTTATTACTAACTAGCCATGATATTCTTTCAGCCAGAAATGCTTTGACATGTTGTGCGGTTCGAAATCTGACCCCCAGAATACTCTTCGCGTGCCCTGCCTTCTGGGTGACCAGAGTAACCCCGATGACACTGCAGTGATCTACAGTCCCTTTACTGCGAGGCCGGGTTTCATATTTTGATCGTTCATAGAACAAATGCTTTTTAAATCTCTGATCTTATCTCTTTTCAAACTGACTGAATGCTAACACAGACGGTAGGTTAGTTCAAGCGAATAGAAGACGTACAAATGCAGCCAGAAAATCATCATAAAATATACAAAACAATTAGATTGTTTGAGTCACACCCTCAGTAATATGTGTAATCAGCTGACGAGGTCCACAAAGTGTTCATTTTCACCGGTGGCATGTTGTTACTGATGCCCTCGTTGGCTCCGTAGGCCACTCAGTCATTGAAATCTCGTCTCACCAGAAGGTGACCTAAGGGACCGTCTTTCTTTATTAACAGTTGCCACAATCCCTCAGGTTACAAGTGAGCAATAATAACTGGAGATGAGGCTCTTTCGGGGAAAACTGCCTCGTCCCGGCTTGTATTTGAAAGCCAGCTTTAAAATTAGACACGGTTAAATAAACCAGCAATATTGCAAACAGAGGTTGACGACTGTGCACCTTCCATAAATCACAATAAGCACTAGAATGATTCTATTTCCTGGCTCAAAAGTTGGTGTAGATGCACAATTACAGTACCGCAGTAGTTCATGAATAATTTATTCACTAGGCAGTCACTTTCTGACTGAATTGGACATGCCAAATGGAGTACTTGTCGATTCCACGGGCAAGAACTGGACTTACTTGCATATTTTGTCTTTGTTTAAAAAACTGGTAAAGATAGGTGCTGTAACCCTACTGGGTTTAGCCTGCATAGGTAACTATCATATTCGTTTTAGAAGGCCATATTTTGTTTATTAATCCATAGTTACAGGACTTCCCTTTTGTGTGTTATTTAACACTTTGATATAACCGCATGCACCGAGTTTTCTCAATATAGTTTTTTAGCGATAACTTATTTTGCATGATGTTTTCGCATCCCCTCCCCGTAATCACTTTGTACTACCTTGATTTCATAGTACCTACATTGCCTTTCCTTGTCGATTCCATACGCCATGACTTACTTATTTCTTCCGGAAGAGTCGTTAGACCGTTTCGTGTTATATCGTTATTCACAAGGATCGCCGGCTGCCTCTGTTAGAACACAAACGCTCAACTTCCTCGATACCTCTGAGTGGTTTCTGTTGTCGAACGCATACGCCAAACTTATTTATTTCTACAAGAATACTTGTGCATAGTCCCTCTCATTAACAATAATAAGGCAGTTAAATTTAGTTGAGAGGTTGGGTTGCACAACCTACCATTGCCAAAAAAGCGATTGGGACAAAGTTCACTCATTCATGGTAGAAGTAGTTTTTAACTGTGCTAGTGGCAATACGGATACCTGCCTATCAGGCATCGCGTCCTTCCTCAGCGATGAATTAGTGAACCAGTCTGGTTGGCCGCATGTTGCCATCGTCGAAGAGATGTGTAAGTTTTAACTAGACCCTATTTCGCATGAACAGTAAACGAACAGGGGTTGTCAGCCGATCAGCAATTACAATGACCTATTGCTCCTATGTCCTGTGCCGAGAGTTTGCCTGGGCAGAGTAATTAGTCGCGAGGGCAGGCTCGAACGACCGACAATTCCAGTGACAGTGAGACAACTCACTGAGTCATTATCAAGCCCAGAACCCACTCCGTTATTGAGGTCACGACGTTTAAAGACTCAGTTGCGGACTAACAAGCCATCGAGCACGGCCCCAGCGATGAATGTGGGAGTAGATGGTGGCGTGACAACTGCACCCAATAAGTACTGCACTTCATGCGGCCGCATCACCCTTATCTACGACTCTATCTGATGGTGGGGTCGAGTGGGGATCCGAAACGTCCGGCCAGTAAGCCTCTTCTTCCAGTGATCGCACCTTCTTCTGAATAAACGAACAGCATGGGCAAAGAAAGAAGCCGTCCCTTTAGTTTACCCAACTATTAAAACGTAGGTTTCGCCTAGTTAAATGCGATCCGGGGACATGTAGTCAAGAGTGACAACTGTGTTTTAACTTCCGCCCGGTAACGATACTTTGAAAAAAATGACGGCTTTGCACAGATTCCGGATCCCGACAATGTAGACAGTAAGCTGGCGCTTGCAGAGCCGAAGAAATGTCTACTAGTCTTCCATTTCTCACAAAAATACGTGTTCATTTCATGCAATTCAGTCGGTTGCAGGGCCGGGCAGATAAAACGAAACTATAAACTTAACCGAGAGAGAGAGAGAGAGGAATGAACAGCAAAACACTATCTGTTCTTGACCATTATTTAGCATTTAAGATGGCATCCGTTGTCTAAGGACCAGGCACAGCTTTTAGCACAGTAGACTGTCGAAAAAGGAAAATTATACTCCAAGAAAATATTTGTTCTCGGATGGAACTGAGCCGATGCTCCCTGGAACTGACATTATGTACTGCACCTAAAGAAGCAGAAGAGTTGGGCATGGCAACTACGTCTGTAAACCAAATCCTTTTTTTCCTATGACTTCTGGAATGGGTCAATTTTCACTCTTAAAGATGATCTGTTGGGACTGTAGCAGCAAAACACCCTGTATGCGGGGTGCTAGGCCGCTGAATTCTTCAGTAGTTTGGAAATTTGCTATATGTTCCAATGGTTAGTGACTAGGGAAGTTTTTGCTATAACTGTCTACGGATAATTGAAAGCCGCTTGACCACATAACATACTTTTGGTTCAAGAGTGAGTCCAGCCTATAGGTTATGTGTGGGTAAGTCCTGCGTTATGTTATTGCCGACAAAGACAAGTCTCCCTTGTCTTTGCCGGTAATAACATACTGCCTATATCATGCGCCACTGTGTGGCTGCTGGTTGGGCTAGAGAGAGAGAGAGCCCGTAAGGCACAACGGAACGAGTGATTCAAGAGGGACCAGCCAATAGGTTATGTATGGGTAGGTCTTGCATTATCATGAAAGAAATGTTCATTGGCTGCACAACCGCCCAATATGGCTTATGAACTTACCCAACAGGGCAGCCAATACTACTTCCATGACAATCCGAGCCCATTTGTGAATGAACATCTTTCGACTCGGAGACCTTCAGTTTGCAATGTAAAAGAGTTTTTTAATTATTCGGTTAGGCAAACTATCCCAAGTGCTACTCGCATCATTAAAAACTGAATATTTGCGCATATTCCTCTGTAGAATTTAATTTGCATCCAATTTGCATCGGGCAATTTATTATATACAATGAATGCTTTACATCGTTCATTGTCTCATGCATTAACGCAAACTATCAAAATGACAAGCATTATAATATTTATAATAGTATGCACTAACTATTTTTTCACTATTCTGTTTGCCGAACATCTACTTTGTTAGGACAAGAGGATAGGAGCCGCCATTGTGCGGGTGGTCTTGTACTAAATTGAAGAAAGGGTACCTTTTCCCTTTTTCTGACCCTAACACTAACCATAGCCTAAACCTTAACCCAACCACTCTGGTTACCCTTTTCTTTTTCAAGAACACTGGTTGACTACTACTCGCAACCGCTGGCGAGGGCTCCAAAACAGGGTACAAAGGCAAACACAGAAGTGAGCTTTCCGTCTTGCGATCTGAAACGCCCGGTGAATGCCACTCACATGCAACATATCTGCGTGTTGCTGTCGCTATTCTCCCCTTGTACCTGTGCTTGCGACTTTATCCTGCCTGGAATATTAGCTTATGCAGTTTGCATGGCTTAGATTAGTATATAAGATTTGTGATTTATAAATAGCTCCCCGGTGAACTTTGGTAGGCGTTATTTTGAATGGATAACCTCCACTAATATTTGGGTATGGTACATTAGGATAGCAAACCGGAAATATGACCGCCAAAGTTATGTAAAGACTGATGAAATTAGCCCATATGGGTAGTCGGGGACTTCAATACATTTTTTTATTTTGCAAACTATTAGAATCTTTCTACTACTACAGTTTTGCTGGAAAAAACTTTTGTCTTTAAATGACAGCTTTTGTCGCAGGTTGTTATCAGTCGTCCGGGTTTCACTTCTGGCAAAGCCATTGTTTGATACCGAATAATAAATGACCGGCATTCTTGTCTCGGTACGCGTAAAGCTTCCTACTCTACATCTGGCTTAAGTCTGCCACCGGCTTCTCGTGAACAATACAAGCAGGCGCAAAATGTACTTTCCTTCGACTGGTGTATTCGAAACAATGACAGTCTCATCTCGCTGCACTTGGAAAACTACTCCTTTGTAATCCTGGTTCCACCAGCTCATACAAGTTTCTCACTTTCTTTGAAAGGAGCCCGCAAGGAGGGTAATGTGTTTTTACTTTCATTATGGCCCTTCTCAACTACTCCTCACCTGACTTGTCTACTGATTTCCCATTGAATATTTCCACAGATATTTCACCCCGTCCAATCGATCAGCCGGATTTGTTTGTGTCTCAGCTGTCTAAAATCTGGAAAATCGACAGTAGGCCAGCAGTAATTCCCCTTTTCACTCTCCTCATCCTTTTTGTTATCCTTATTGTCTTTGTTCCCATCGGCGTCCTCGGCTGGGTGTATGTACGCCGGCGAAAAAGAGGAAGAAAAGGTAGTAGTAGCAGTAGCAGTAATGGTAGCAGTAGACATGAGATCCAGTATAGCGAGAATCCTCGGGTTGACAAGAAAGAGACTGAGGGAGCACGCGAAGGAGCACAGAAGAAGGAGGTTGTCCGTTGTCTGGCTTGTCAAAGCCAGCTTCAATACTCCATGGAGTACCGTCCAAAGGAGAGGAGACTGCTACTTGGAATTATAGGGTGCACGAATCTCACAACCCCAACCGGTGTCGGTGTCCCTTGCCCTATTGTGAAAATAGTACTCAATACAGCAACGGTCTGGAAGCCTACAAGCCAGTGTGAGGTCGCGACTTCAAAGGTTCTCCGCACTGCAGTGCTCCCCAAGACGCGAAACCCGACATTTCGGGAAATGTTTGCCTTCAGTCTTATGCCATACGAGATCATGAGCACTGTGATTCACATACGCGTCTATCATTTTGATCAAATTGCAAAAAATCTGATTCTCGGGAACCTAGAAGTGGAACTCAAAAAGACGCCGGTGAATAATTATTTTGGGAAATATTATGAAGTTCAGGAGCCATTGCGTGAGGTGAGCTGCGAATTGGAGGAGTATGGGCAGATATGTGTTGCTATCACGTACGAAGAAAAGGCGATGGAGCTTAGAGTGAACATTCTGGATGCCAAAGACCTCAGTCAACCCGCAAAGACATCCAATCTCTATCCTATGACCCACGTTTCCGCAACCCTCCTCCTCGGTGGTGGGAAGAGCTTGACAGAGACGACGGCGGTACGGAAGAACGTGATCAACCCCTACTTTGGCAGCCTGCTGACCTTTCCCCTGAAGTGCGAGAGTGTTGCCCAGTTCACATTGAAACTGAAACTGAAATATCATGGCGAAACGGGCTTAATAAAGACGCATGGATTTGTTATAATTAGTCTGAATTCCCCACATGTCTCCGGTCGAAGACACTGGAGGGAGGTTGTTGATCGACCGGGGGAAGCAATTGGTATGTGGCACGCTCTCACATGCTATAAGCCCACTTAATCTCCCCTATCTGCTGCAGCATCATCAATCTTCATGTTAGGTATTCTGACAACTTTCGCCAAACCCGCATCTGTTCAAGCGAGTGTCAGTGCTTGTGTGTTTTAAATAAATATGCTTGTGCGCTGCTCTGCTCTGCTGCAGTACTGTAAAATGGGACATAGGCAAAACAGCACTGCAGCACACATTTCCGAAGTCGCTTGCTTTCACAAACTTGCAACAGCTTCTGAAAGAAAGCTGTTAAGATGACGCATAAAACTTCCGAAAAAATGCTTATGCAACTTGCATTTTGATGGCAGAGAATTGGAGAACCACTTCCTAAATTAAACATCTGAGGCCGCCATATGGGATATGGGCACTAAGCTCTCGCTGTTAACTATGATTTGAACTCTACCTGTAAATAGATCATGTAAATAGTTCTCACTGTAGGTTCGGAGAGGCACAGAATTAGCGAAATGGTAGTGCCAGTAGGAAGTCTTCGACATCAATGGAGCTGTGAACTGAACAATGATCATTCTGGCCTACGGGAAGACTACGGGCAACGAAGGTAGACAGAAATTACCAGACTATACCAGCTGTGCCATTATTCCACCATCCTTCTTCACATCCTGCAAAGCGAATTTTATTGCTCCTGCGCGCTATATATACCAACTATTATCACAGGTGGCATAGGTTTTAAAGTCATGTTTATAAGCTCTTCTAGGGAACGTGTACCTGCCTTGTCTCCTCAATGGGCTTTCGACTGAAGGTAAAGTGCCTATGATGCCAACGTTAATTCGCGTTTACCCACAGGTTTAAGTAGCCTGGCCTACTGCATGATCCCATTACTGAATGATTGACCCAGACCAGCCAAGACTGTCGGCCGATGTCAGTAGGCGAGGTCAGATGGAAAATTATTCATTCCCGGTCGGATCAAAAAGCTGGTCATTATCTGTGCTGTATCCTCTAAAATGCCCGCTTATATTTAGATAGGTTGGTATAGATGAAGAAAAAACCTTAATCATACCTCTTAACGTACAATTCCGGTGATAATTTGTTAAAAGTAGTCGCTCGACTGCAACGAAACAAGTAATTGTGCTTCAACCATGCTTTCTGGGGCTTGGCGACAACAATCTCGTTCATCCCTTCTAACCTACCTCCTTCCTTACCGGTAAAAGTTCAGCATCTGTGGGGGACAACCTGTGATCTGCCTTAGCACAGCGGACTGGGAGAACTTTGCTTTTAACTGAGTTTTGGCGAGAATTTACTGTTGAAGAGGACGATTTTACTATCAGCTAGTCGTACCATTTACGCATACGGAATTTAACAGTTAGGAGCACATTAGGACCCCTTTCGGATGTTGTCATATGGAATTGTATCACTAACATATCGGAGTTGGCATTTCAATGCATTAAAAGTGGTTTTCGGCGTAAAATCAGAGAAGTGGAAGAGGGGCGCTCGCCGATCGCGCCACGGAACTCACTCGTCCCGTTGTGTTTTGGGGTTCTCTCTCTTTGGAACCCCGCCAGCAGCCACACAACGGCGCGCAATTTAGGTAGAATAACATTATCGAAAAGTAAATGGTCATTCCGGTTACCCTTGCCTTTGTCAGTAATGTTATTCTGTCTACATTACACGCCGCTATGCGTCTGATGGCGGGGCTCGAGAAAGAGAGCCCCAAGGCATAACAGGACGAGTGATTTCTATAACGTGATCGGCGAACGTCCCTCTACCACTGTATATATCCGACTGCAAACGACAGGACAAAGAGCCCGTGACTCAGTGGTTAGGGCGTTGGACTTCTAGCCAACAGATCACGGGGTCGAGCCCTGGGTGTCACACACCTCGGTGTTGGGTGTGACTGGCTGACGACGGTTAATAAGCCAGAAATGGCCATTCCAGTCTCCATAGTGTTTGACTATGAAACTGTGAGAGGTAAAGTACGAACCAAGACTCGAATCCAATGTGCGGAATTCCCGAACACTCACAAGTGATTAGTATGAATCGAAATCCAGCAATAATGTATCCGCCCCAGGATGCTGGCATGTGTGGGCGTATTCGTTCATCAACTTGTGTAACTACCACTCCTGGAAGGAAGTACCTGTTAAATAATCTAATTTTATCACCTACTTTTTCATGCCTGTACAAGGGAGATTATATTCCCCACAAAGGACTCAAGATAACTGTACTTCTTATATGGCTTTGTAGAAAGTTGACTCAAACAAAAGTCTAGAGAAGAAATGCGGTCTGACAACTTAAGGCAAACGGCTATTCGGACGCCTCGGGAAAAGCGTTGGGCCAGGACAAACGGTCACCGAGGTTGCGCTGTTTATTCCAAATGTCAAGATGAGAGACTGTACACTGAGCTGAGAATATCTTGTCACATTCTACCCAGTACTTCAGATCGGGATAGGGTGCACGGTACGCCACACCAGAGCTAACGGACAATGGATCGGCTTTCGTCTCATGAGTAGTTTGCGTGGATTGCTCGCTGAAACGCGGTCACTTTCTGCTGATTAAAGGGTCGGCAATGACCTATTAAATACGTCTGTAAGAAAACCGATATCACTGTAAATGTGAAATCTCTGTCGTCGACAGAGGTAGGAAAATGTTCGATACCAAGGCGGGTTACGAGGAGCTTTAGGCTGAAGGTGCTAAAAAGAATACCAGGGGTCTCAGCCTGCGACTGAGTATTTGAAACGACAGCGAAATTATAAAGGTTATATCAACATGGAAGTGTGGGCCATTAGATAAGGAATGAGAAGAGCCAGTTGCATTTGTAGGGGGCTTTTTAACACCATGGAAACCGTCCACGGATGGACAGATGAAATGAAAGTCACGGATGCTGTCGTGTAAAGCTAGGGCGAGACAGGGCATCAGTTAGATGCTGTGCGGAATGAAATTTTGGTAAAAGTAAAAAAGCCAATTGGATGGTGGAGTTGTCGGAGAGAAGTGCGCGTAGGAAACTTGCGAACTCTTGAACTGTTATCGTTCATGGGGTAATCATAGTCGAAGAACCTACGTGATGTCCTCAGAAATGAAAGGCGGGAGCACAAAAGCTGATTTGGACGTACTGATGAGCATGCTGAATCCGGATAGCCGTGCGAAAAGGGGACGTAGTTATTGGACGTACGCACAGTCGCTGGAGCAGGCAATCAGAAAATTGCTGGCACAAATAGGGGGCGACTTCGATTAACCCCATTGATAAGATGCTGAAATACCTAGGGACAATCACCGAGGTCAAAGGCATCCTAACGAACTCAAGTAGGACAAAGGACTCCGGCGTTGAAGCCGACTGGTCGACTGACATAAGGTGGTCCTTCAGTAGAATTGCGATGCCTAAAAATATGTTAAACTAGCTAAACTATAAAGGCCAAGCGACGGTTGCAAATTCCGAATGCAGACACGGATAGGGCTTAAGGTACGGAACTGTAAAAATGCGTGGTCTTGGGTATGTAAAGGCACAAGTTGAAAAAAAGGAAGATAAGTAAATCGTGGGTCCAAAGCGTTTGTTCCACTTAACATCAATGAGGAAATCGACAGCAGCATAACTACCGCACCGTGGATGATAGTGTGAAAGTTGACTCTTAAAGGTGCGATTATATGCATGGCGAATGAACGAAAGTGTGGTTGACTGGTGGCAAACTGGAGGTTGGCTGAAATCAAGTGAAGTCAGCGCAACTACCTACAAGAAAGTTTCGGCAAGTATTTTTGTAAACAGTGTGGAGAAGGCGACTTGGCTGACCGAAACCTCAAGCGGGGAAACCCGAAACGGTGACTGGCCTAAGAACGTCACCAGTTGGAGGCCGGGCTACTAAAAGGCTCTGTGTGTGTGTTTGCCACAAAGGCAGGTCACGCGGTAGATACCCCCGGGCCAACACGGGGGCCGCATCGAATTCTGAAGGGGTAATCGAGAATACGCACGCATAACAAACGTCAACACTCGGGTGGTGCTGGTGATGGCAGGCCCAGTTGCAGTCTCACGCCGCGCACCTTGGGATTCTTGTCACCCCAAATATGGTGTTGGTTAAAATCCTGATCAAATGTTTGCCGTAGACCAGGGGTTGTAGGCTGCCTACTCTGCCACCGCAAATTCTCCTCAAACATCGGCCTGATCGGTCACTTGTGAATCCAGTATCTGGAGCACCCACATACACTCAGCGTATCTGCGTTCACTGCCCACGATGCGCACACACATGCACTCACGGCATGGATCTATTAGGTCATATGCGTATTCATGAAAACCTGCGGTAGGTCACCACTAGATACAGTAGGTTGGCTAAATCATTAAATGTCAACCGAAATTCCGAACTGTGGTGGTGGTGGTGGTGGTGGTGGTGGTGGTGGTGGTGGTGGTGGTGGCAGGCCCAGTTGCAGTCTCACGCCGGGCACCTTCACATTCTTGCCACCTCACATATATTGTTGAGTAAAATCCTGGTCAGGTGTTTGTTGTGGACCAGGGGGTGTGGTGGCACTCCTAGGTGCCGGTCCGGTCGTCCCAACCACCTGCGTCCTCCATCATCTCAGGTTTCCTCGATTATGTCTTGGTACCGGACCCAGATGAGGGATGAGAGGGCGCGGTAGATGCTGCGCAAGTCTTCTATCATTATAACCTAATTCACGCGCCAGTCAGTTTGCTGTGGAGCACACGGTAGACATCGTTGGGTACGACGGTCGAATTGTCGTGTATTCAGAAGCCCTATGAATTCCTCGAAGTTAGGTGGAGCCAGTTATGTCGATTGCGTCCATATCTTAGCACTACTGGAGGGCGCGATCAGCAGCCTCTGCTGCAAATGGACAGGTGAGTTAAAGATGTTAGTATAAAGACAGTTCGTCAGAAGATTAGATCCTTAGAAGAGGAAGAAGAAGAAGAAGAAGAAGAAGAAGAAGAAGACGAGAAGAAGAAGAAGAAGAAGAAGAAGAAGAGGAGGAGGAGGAAGAAGAAGAAGAAAAAAAACGAAAAAAACTGTAGGGACACTCTGAAACTTGACTTTTACAGTCTGCCAGCTTCTCATGGCACCTAC